CAGCGCCGCCTCCCGCTGGAGAGATGCGGGGGCAGCGCTCGTAGTGCGATGCAGGCATGGAGCCGTGGCGCTGCTGAAAGGGCTGCTGCAGATTCCTTGCTCTGGTATTACTGTTGCGTGTTTAAGGGATGGAGTCTGCCGATCCCGCCGCACTTAAAATTGCCTTTTGCCCAGTTCGGCAAATACAAGTTTGCAGGTACTGGTGGGGTGTGAGGGAGGACGTGTCTAGCGTGGTTCAGTTTCCCTTAAAAATGCTTGGCCCTGGAGCCACGTTGGAAGCGTCTGCTGCAGATTCCTTGCTCTGGTATTACTGTTGCGTGTTTAAGGGATGGAGTCTGCCGATCCCGCCGCACTTAAAATTGCCTTTTGCCCAGTTCGGCAAATACAAGTTTGCAGGTACTGGTGGGGTGTGAGGGAGGACGTGTCTAGCGTGGTTCAGTTTCCCTTAAAAATGCTTGGCCCTGGAGCCACGTTGGAAGCGTCAAGTCAGGTTTGGGAGGGGTGCTGCAGTGACAGTGAACGAGGGAGTTCTTAAATTTGCCAATCAACAAACAGTTCTCCATGCTCGAGCAGGAAAGGTTTATAAAGCAGCATTAAAGAGAACCGCACCAGTGAAGGGCTCTCCCACAGTGAAAGTTGGGAAGTAACTCATTCGTGAGGAAGCTGCTGTTCTATCACCACTATTTGTATACAGTGCCATGAGCATACATAATGTTTCACTAACCCTGCATTGTCAGATACACTAAAATAAACTTTTATCAGCTCATAAAAAAGCATATGGCGGTAGGGCTTTTTTTAACATAGCATTATTTCAGCATTTTTTTAACTTTTCTCCAGAATTTTACAGAAAATCCAATGGTAGGAAAAAACTCATTACTTTTACAAATAGATGTCCATATACTTTTAACAATTAAGGTGTCTTATGATTTTAAGATGAGTGGTATAAAAAGTAAGTTAAAAAAAAAAAAGAAATCCAGCAGTTGTGTTCTATATACAGCATTGTGGCTTAAATTTGAAGTTTTACAATTTGCATTAACTTGCAAAGTATGCTTAAATATTTACTTTTATTGGAATTTGGTTTATTTTTAAAGATTGTAAATAATACTTTTCTAGGACATATCTTAAAATTTTGATTCCAGTCTTATACATTTCCCAATTAGAGGCCTTTTTTCTGTAGCAGAAATAATGTCTGTCATGGTGGTTTCAGATAGGTAATAGTTACAATTTGTCTTTAATAACTTGTATCCGGGGGTAAAGGAATGTATATTTGGAATAACTGCATAAAATTAACTTTTGGTTATGAAAATATATTTTTAGAATTTCTAAGGTACTTTGTAACAGGCAAGCTTTAATGGCTTAGCTTTTTAGATTTCATTTTAATTAATTTTGTGATGGCTCGATCCTATGAGACTTCCACATTTTCTGGAGCATGGGTGGGGAACCTCAGGCCCATATGCCGGATATGGCTCCCAGCTTGCCTGGAGCCAGCCCCCCAGGCTCAGGGATCCCTCTCCCCCCCATTGGGAAACCTGTGCTGGGATTCTAGCCCCCTGCCATCCATCCACAGGGCTGGAGCATACAAAATCTAGTTTGGGCTCCTGTAGGCTCTGGTGTGTGAGAGTGAGGAGTGCATTTTTCCTTCTCAGGGTATGTCTGCAGTATTTCTCTTTCTAGAGAGGAATGCAAATGCAGCCGAGCAAAATTGCAAATGAAGCGTGGATTTGAATTTCCTGTGCTTCATTTGCATTAATGGCATCCAGGCGGTTTTTCGATATACCCTATTTCAAAAGATAAAAAGCAGTCTAGATGGGGTTATTTTGAGGAAAAAAGCCTTCTTTCAAAATAACCCTTAAACCTGAGGAATGCAGTGTAGACATACCCTCAGTCAGGGGCTTCTCGCTTAAGTGCGAAGAACTGATTATTCTGTGGGTAAGCAGCTCCCAGCCCAAAAAATGTTTCCCCACTCCAGTTCTAGAGGAGTAAGAGTGAATATTATTTTTATAGCAATATTTTTCAACTTAATCAGTAAAGAAAATAACTGTTTACTTAAGATGATGAGTGAAATACTATACATATAGTTAAACTACATGAAATAAACATTAAAATTATTTTACCAGTGAGCATCATCCTCAGAGTTTACTGCAGTCCGCATAAATTGCCTCTTTCTGATAGTTGTGGAATAACATAGTAAAGAATAAAATGGTCAGAAAAGATTAATATAATTTGTTGGGGGAAAGTCAACATGGTTTCTATAAAGGGAAATCAATCCTTACTAATCTGCTAGAGTTCTTTAAGGGGGTCAGCAGACAAGAGGGATTCAGTGGATATAGTGTACTTACCTTGTCCATGGATTTCTGGAAATCTATCTCCCCAAATGGCTCTTAAGTAATTTGTCATGGGATAAGGGGAATTGATAACTGGTTAAAAAGACAGGAAAGAAAGGGTAGGAATAAATGGTAAGTTTTCAGGATGGAGAGAGGTAACTAGTGTCCCCCAGGGTTCCATATGGGACCAATCCTATTCAACCTATTTATAAATGATCTGGAGAAAGCGGTAAACAGTGAGGTGGCAAAATCTGCAGGTAACTGCTCAAGATACTTAAGACCAAAGCAGACTAGGAAGAGCTTCAAAAAGATCTCACGAACTAAGTGATTGGACAACAAAATGACAAATTACTTTACATTTATCAATATTAAATTTAATGCACATTGGAAAACATAATCCCAGCTATACATACAAAATGATGGGGACTAATTTAGCTATAACTATGTGAGAGAGATCGTGGAGTCGTATATCGTTTTCTGAAAACATTCACACAATATACAGCAGCAGTCAAAAAAGCAAACAATGTTAGGAATCATTAAATAAGGAGTAGAGAATAAGAATATCTTATTGCCTCTATATAAAACTATGTTGTACCCCCTCTTGAATGCTATGTACAGATATGGTCGCCTCATTTTGAAAGACACATTGGCAGTGAAAAAGGATCAGAAAGGCCAACAAAAATGATTAGGGGTTTGGAATGGGTGTTATATGAAGATACATTAAAAAGAATGAGACTTTTCAGTTCAGAAAAGAGGATATTAAAGGGGGGGATATGATTGAGGTCTATAAAATCATGACAGGTGTAGAAAAATGAATTAGTTATTTACTTGTTCCCATAACATAAGAACTAGGGGTCACTAAATGAAATTAATGGGTAGCAGGTTTAAAGCAAACAAAAGGAAGTTTTTCTTTGTGGAGCACACATTAAACCTGTGGAACTGCCTGCCAGAGGACTTTGTGAAGACCAGGACTTTAACAGGGTTCAGAAAAGAACTAGATAAATTCAGGGAGGTTAGGTCCATCAGTGGATATTAGCCAGGATGAGTATGAATGATGTCCCTAGCCTCTATCTGTCAGAGGCTGGAAATGTATGACAGGAGAAGGATCATTTGATGATTTCCTGTTTTGTTCATTCCTCTGGGCATCTGGCATTGGCACACAGGATACTGGGCTAACTGGACCTTTGGTTTGATTCAGTATGGTCATTCGTATGTAACATTGTAACAGGGTGTCTAAAGAATTATTATTCTGGTTTAGTTTATAAAGCCTCAATTCAAGGAACATTTATCCTATAGGCTTCATGTAGGTTTCATTGGGTCTACATGTGTTTGATTTATTGTACATGTGTACATCTGTGGTATCTGAATACTTCATAAACATTAATTTATTTTCACAATGCCCTGGTGAAGTAAAGTGGCATTATAACTATTTTATAGTGGGGGAGCTGAGGCTCAAAGAGATTAAGGTAAAAAACACAGATTTTTGGGTCTAAATAGATCTTGTGGATCTGATTTTTTCAAAGTACTTAGCATTACATAATGCTTTATTTGCCCAAAATGCAGTGCTCAAGATATGTCTATGTTCCAGTCCAAGTCCAATCATGTATATTTTACTGAGCCAATCCCAACCTCTCATTCTCTCTAGTCACTCCTATTATCTTCCTTTCCCTGGTTGCACTCAGTCCATCTGCCTAGCTGGTTCCAGTCTAGTTCCCGCTCAGTGCTTTATTGTTGATTGAAAATAATCTGAAAGCATCCTATACTTATGTGTGCGCAATTGTATGCCTGCCTCTTAGAACAGGCCAGAATAAAATAGGGATAGTTCATGAGCTTATGTCAAGTAAATGATAATAGAACTTTGCAACTATTTCCCTACTCTTTAAGAATATTTAACCATGCATGGTGTCTTTTAATGTCTGTTGCTTAACGTACAAACCTATACAGGCAGTCCCCGGGTTACGTACAAGATAGGGACTGTAGGTTTGTACTTAAGTCGAATTTGTACTTAAGTCGGAACTGGCACCCAGATTCAGCCGCTGCTGAAACTCACCAGCGGCTGACTACAGGAAGCCCGAGGCAGAGTTTCTCTGCCCCTGGACGCCTGGGACAGAGCAGCTGGGGGGGTGCTGGGTAGGTCTCCGCAGCGTCGCACCTCAGCGCTACGGGGACCAACCCGGCAGCACCCCAGGTGTCCCCAAGTCAGCTGCTGCCGAAACTGATCAGTGGCTGATTCCAGGAAGCCCGGGGCAGAGCAACAGCAGACCAGGGAGACGCGGAGCAGCTTTTCTCGCCCCGGAGGATGAGGGCGGCGGTCCCACCGCCCGCATCCTCCAGGGCGAGAAAAGCCTGGTTCGTAAGTGCGGATCCGACATAAGTCGGATCCGCGTAACTCGGGGACTGCCTGTACTTCGTTTTATAATTATATTTTTAAGTTTGGTGGAATAATTGAAAGGATTGATTCTGAGCTACAGATACTTGCTTAAGACATTGACCACAAATGTTTAAGTTAATGCTGAAAACTGAATAAAAAGATGTTACCAGTTTAATAGTGAATAAATATCTACATCACAATAATTACAACAAAAGCTGGCAATCTTATTGGTAATTTCAGTACAATTTAAGAATTGAATCAGTGTAGTGGCAGGAAATTGTTTCTAGTGATTTCATTTTGACACTTTCGACAAATGCAATGAAGTTAAACAGCACTGAAAAAGTATGCTTGACATTTTTTGACATTGATGATCAAGTATAAAAGATTGTTCTCATGACATGTCTTCTCTTTTTCACATCTTCAAGCCTTCCTTCGTTTGCCTTTTGTTTCTTTGAAAATGCTCATTAATAAAACCAGAATTCTTCTTTTTCTTCGGAAATTAGCATTCTCAAGCACTCTAGAATTGTGAAAGTATTTTCAGGACTATATGAGGAATAGGAATTAGGTTTCTACATTTCAACTCTTTAGAAACTATGTGAACAAGGATCCTACTCCTTATACATACTTGTACTTGTGTATTCTAGCAATAGCTCCTTTATATAACATGATGGTTTTACGTCTGCTTATTCAGCTTTTTTTAA